AACCCTAAACCGTAAACCCCTGAACCGACAGCTCTAGCTGGGGTTCCGATTCCGACAGATGAGATCAGAGGCAGTAAGCTAGCCTGTCCTTCTTGTCCTCCAAAACCTCCACCTCCGCAGCAAGACAAAGGAACAGAGGCAACAATGAAGGGCCCAAGAAACAAGAAAACCGCCTCTGCACGTAGCAGAGATGACAATACTAGCAGTGAAAGCAAACAACATCATCAGCATCATCAGCTCCGCCAAGCAATCACAGCAAGGTTCTTTTTGGATTGAGAGGATGAGCTTTGCGAGGAGCTGATTATTCTCGAGTTTCGAAGGCTTCGGCATCGAGGCTATGATGCTGCAGATCGGCAGATCTCCAGGGTGCTTTGCCAGGCAGGGATTCTGCATGTTCTGCGTTGGGGGGCTATGTGCTGCTTACTACCCTCAACGTGTGCAGTAGTGTCTTGCTGTACACTTGCTTCTTCTCATACTCTACTACTCTCCGTGCTTAACCCGACGTTCTAGTCCTACATGTTCCGCCCACTAGGCCGGACAGTCTTGGACCCTACTCCCTCTGCACGTTTATGATACTGTCATGATACCTTCAGTGCCCCATGGTGTTTGTTTGGTGAGAAGCACAAGAACCACAAGGACTCAACACTGCGTTGCTGGTTGATCGCTGCTGTCCCTGCCGTCATCAACTGTCATTACATCTGTTGTGATCATGGCGGCCTCCGGTGAGGCATATCTTGCAGATCCTGCACTGCACTTCTTCATGCGAGCACCTTGAAACACCTCCGAAGTAGGTACTCTAGGGATTCGGGATCGTAGACATGGCTCACGAAGACACTGCAACCTCTTTGCGCTTCGTGCAACATGCCTATAGGTGGCAGGACACGGAGGAAAAAAAAAAAAAAAAAAAAAACTGCTGGCATGTAAGTGTTCATGAATCAGGGACTTGACTGACTACTTACTACTTGTCGGGATGTACGAAAATTGAGATCGGATTGCCTTCGTCCTAAAGTCAGTGCGTGTCAGGCAGATCGGCTTTGGCTGGCGCCTGCGTCCCGCGCACCGTCAACCTGCGCAATCGTCCAGTAAGGAGTTTATGGGAATGAGACTGTAAAGATTGGAGTTCAGGTTCGAGGTTTTTATCTTTGGCGGATGTGTCTGAGTTCCTTTTGGCCTCGCAACACAGTCGAGCGGGTCGGCACGTGGCTGCAGCATGGTACGAGTTGCCAGGTGTATGTAGGTGTTGCACGTGTTAAAGGGGTCTTGCGCATCGAACTTCTGTTGACTTATGATAAGCCCAGTTCTTGCACTAGGCGCCAAGGAAGACTTCGAACGCGCAACCCCACAGACCAGTGCGAAGTCCTCCATCTCTGGCAAAAGTCGTGCGCCGGTAAGGAAAGTTAGGTCGGGAATGCAAATCGAAAGCCCATTTACTAATGACTCTCACCCCTATATTGCCCCTGAAAATGAAGCTCCGGTGCCCGCACCTCGACGTCTCCGCGGTGCGGGGCGCCACGCGCGGTGCGCTGCTAGGGACGAAGGTGGTGAGGCCTGGAGAGCTTTGGGGCTCTGGTTCCTCAGCCTCGTCCGAAGGTACAAAGGAAAGGAAACTCTCTTTTGCACATACGAGTTGCTATTTGCAGCCCCGTCGAAGGATGATGTCGTCGTCGTCGTAGCAGTGCAAGTGCCCGCGCTAGCACCCGCAACAGTGCTAGAACTGGTACTGGTAAACTATAGCTTCTTGAGCTCATGGTCAGCACCTATCCTGAAAGCCAGATCTTTCAGCGGTGACGATGAAAAGAACAGACTCGGACTGTCCCAACTCTCTGAGTATTGCTGAGGTGGTGGCCCAGATAAAGAGCAGATGCAACCAGCAAGTACCTCTTGCGTGACCCAGCGAGCAGCAAGATCTCTACTTTTGTTCAGCACCCGTCTCTCGTCACTTGACGCATCTGCTTGGAGGGGCCACTGCGCAAACCAGGAGCCAAAAGAATGAAGCTTCGAGGACGTAGCCCCCTTCGCGCTGCTGGATGGCGCACGCGATGGGTCTTCGGCGCTTCATAGTCTGGACCTTCGCGGCTGATGCTTATCGAAGCTTCAGCTCCCAGGGGATAATCCCTTAAAAGCCGAAGCCCGACAGCTCCACTGAAAAGCCCTGGGGTCCGGACCATGGTCACCAAACTCTACTTGCCGACGCTTCTCAAGTTTTTTCCGGTTTCTGTGGTCCAGCAAAGGCCCAAAGGTTACACCTGGAAGGATGGGACCCGGATGGGAGCTGCTGGGGCAGTGCTCTGTTTACAGCTGTCATGACGTTCCTCAGCCATGTCTCGGGCCGAAAACTTGAGAATCCGAAGGCAACAGGGTCATGCCCAAAGGAAGGGGCACAAGTAATTACCTTTACTATTTTTTGGGGGTTCCGTATTCTAATTCTAGTATAATGGGCCCCATTACCCTATTCTGTTTATTCAGGGCCCTTTTTTTTTGCAACTGCATAGCTGACGTTGTGAGATGTGAGCGCATCAATCTATTTTGCCGTTGTCTCTCAGCTTCCAGACGGGTGGGCCGTGGAATAGCCGACTCTGATGCGTTTGGATGGATAGGAGGTTCAAAGATCGATACAGCTCTAGAGTTAGAGACCCTGGAGGTGAAAATGGCATGCCGGAGCCCGTGCCAGACATTCGAGATTCCTGATGTGGGTTCGGGATTTCTGGCTCTGAAGTGAATCGGAGGTCGATGACCAAGCTCGAAGTGCAACAGTTGCGAGTTGCTGCTTGCGTGAACCTGATGCTGGGGGAGGCAGACCTGATCTCTGTTGCAGTACTCACCAGCCGTCGCGACGCAGATGCTATGACAATCTCGAACTATACTCCTGTGCACATTTGGGGGTTTCCGAGAATAGGGGACCCTAATATAGTACCCCAAATAATGGGACCCTTATTATAAGGACCCCAGAATAAGGTACCCTAATTTTTGGAAACTCCCATTTCACAGCAGATCCTTCGCCGAAACCCGACACCGGCATCTTCTTTTCCCTTGGCGAGATCAGGTCGCCGGCTCGAGCACGAAGTGTTCAGCCTTCCCGTTGCCGGGAGGATTGCATGTTTTGCTTAACATGGGAGGTCTGAAATATATATATATATATATATATATACATACATACATACATATATATATGTAGGGTTTGGAGTGGCCTATACAATACTCAACAATCACAAAGATTCCACAAAGTAAAGGAGAACTACCTAAGCTCCGACACTTCGGTGCCTTCGGCCCCTCGACCCCGACCCTGAAAGTCCCTGAGCTCTAAACGCCCCCTATCAACTTACACACTGACACCTGAAAGCCCCATCAGTGACCGCAAAAAGTGTAGCAGCCGTAACACAACCCACATAAAGCCCCAACTAAACCCTAAGCCCCAAAACTCCCAACCCTAACACCATTAAAACCCCCAAACCCTAAACCGTTAACCCCTACCCAGAACCTGAAGCCCTAAACCCGACAGCCGTAAACCTTCCAGCCCAAAACCCCCCAAAACCCTAACAAAAACCCAGAACCTCCTAAACCAAAAAAACCCAAAATCCCCTAAACCCTAGGAACCCTCAAATCCCGTAAACCCCAACAGCCTAAACAAAACCCTAACAGCCCCAAAACCCTAAACCCTAAACCCTCAACTCTAAACCCTAAACCCTCCAAAACCCTAAACCCTCAACCCTCAACCCTAAACCCTAAACCTTCAACCCTCAACCCCAAACCCTAAACCCAATCCCTAAAGACGCGCTTTCGGGGCCCCCGGGCCCAAGGGCTCCCCCAGCGCGCAGCGCCGAGTTTGAGACCCCAGCCTTGGGGTTCTTCGGGCGCTTTTAATAGATTAGGGTTTAGGGCTTAGGGTTNNGCTTGGGTTTTGGGGTTTTGGGCTTAAGTTTTTGGTTTGGGCTTTTTAGTTTAGGGTTTACGGTCTTAGATTTCGGGTTTGGGGTTTCGTTTAGGGTTTTATGAAAGCTTTAAAGAGCTGTATCGGGTCCGGGTGTTAAGGACTTTGAGGCTTCCTGTATTGGTGCTGGGGGGCTTGGGTTTAGGGTTTA